AGAGAAGCACAAATAGCATCACTGTTGTATCGAGGTCCTGGTTTGCCTCTTCTCAAACCTCAGTGTATGGGTCATACTTGGGGTCCCATTTCTCTCTGTTCTTGTCTATTTTAGTGTACATTCTTCCTTTCCAAGTTTGCTTGGTTTTCATACACTTGAAATATTTATGTTTTGAAATGGCTTCCTGAGTTGTGTTGAGACTTGTTGTCAAACACAACCTCTCAGTTCACCTTTCCACGCTGGCTCCGTACGACTCAGTTCTATTTATCGCTGCCGTTCGAAATCAGCCCTTTTGCTGAGGAAGGCCTTTCAAAGGATGTTGCATCAGCCCATTGTTAAATAAACCTTTAGACATTTATAATGGATTCAGCATTTCCTGCTTTTTACAGTTCCAAGAATGCTGAATGACGTGCAGACACACTTCATCAGGGTAAGATTGCTGTATCAGCCCCTCACTAAAATGCACTCATTATTCAAATAATAACTGTATGTCTCCAGCATGTGTTCTGTGAAATGTGTGTTCATGATGTGGGCGAATAAACCAGCCCCTTTTTCTTCATCATGCAAATCCTACTTTAGCAGGGAGTTGAAATACTTGAGATTTTGAGTCCTTTATTACTCAAAATGAGGCACCTGAAGAGAGATTTGATCATTAAATTGGGCAATGTGTTAAAATTTTCAGAAGTTCCTAAAAGTGGTTGTCAAGGGAGGGCTGATTTGTCCTGTGATAAGCCTCATTCTGAAGATGGAGTGTGGACAGCAGTGGGCACTGGGATGCTCTGGAAAGGCTTGTTTCCATCAGTGCTGAAACCCCCTGGAGTTGAGTGTGAGGAACAACAGGTCCATGGCATTGCAGAGGCTCAGGGTGCTTGGTTTGGAGGGGACAAATATGGGTCAGAAATGACGAATGCCAGAAATATACCAAGAAAATCAGGTCTCTAAAGTAAAGTTTTGTTTCATCTAGCTGTCAGGAGATAGATTTATAATTTTATGTTTTACCTGTCATGTCATATTTCTTTAAATAATTGCTACAGAAGAGAGAACCGGCAAGGAACATATTTCTTAACCTGCTGTGGGTGTTTGCTATGTCATTAACGCTTGGAGGAGAATCACCTTCTTGGAATCCTGTCCAGGCAGGTTTAAAAGCAATGCTGAAAGAAGAACGATATTTCATATAATTAAACACCAGAGGAAATTCCATCCGTGCTCTTCCTTCCTCTCTTTCTCGTTTGGTAAATAATGATGGCAGAGCTTATTTTGGAAAAAGTATTTGCATTTCAGCTTTTGGGGCACTTGCATATTTGTGGAAATGGACATTCTAAAATTAGTCTATATACTATGTCCTGATCACTTTGTATTGAGAGCAATAAAGCTGGACTGGAATTCATTCTTGTGAAGTGAAAGAGAATAGAAAAGGTTGAGAATAAATAAGATCATTTTAGGTTGAGAGCAAGAGATCTCAGTATATTCTGAGAAGAGAACAACATATCCTCAAAACATTAAGTGTCTGTTTTTGTGTTTTATTCACAAGTCATGGGCTCTGATATTACTCATTATTCTGCCTTATCTAGTGTCAGAAAAACCTTGGATAGCTTCTTAAAAAATTAAAATAGTAGCTCAGTTTCTTTTCCAGTTGCTAATATGTTCTGTACAGTGGGGATATTGCTGAAGGTCTGATCCTGATGTTATCCCCAAAGCTCCTGTAGATGTTGTAGGTCCTTAGGTCCCTCTTTGTAGCTTCCAGGATAGGAGTTGCAATGCTGTATTTTGGGACAATGTTCCCTCTCTGCTGTCAGTGCTAGTTAAAGGAACAAGATCAACATAAAAGAGAGCTGAAGGATCCAAGGCTGACCTGGGTCATTTGGTATGGAATGGGGGAATACAGCAGTGAGCTGTAATTTGAGCAGCCCTTTTCCCCTCTCTGCTGGGTAATGGCTTCTCCTAGTTTAATGTATTCAAAGTAATAAAAGTTTAACTCAGCCAGTTGTGTAAAATTATTGATAAAAATTGGAAGAGTTTAGACAGGAATAGTGAGTTGATTCAAAAAGCAGAAAATGCCTGCTGAAAGTGGCATCTGGTGAGCAAGAGAGACCAGGACTGGAAATTAATTGAGGAAATTGGGAATTAAGCAGAGAAAACAGCAGGAGGGGTTTGGCTCTTCCTCTCCTTATCCTTTTCTTGGTACAGATACTGAGAGGACATGCAGACAGGAATGGACAAACTGCCACTGTGGTGAATTGTTTCATGCTCATCACCCAGTCCTGGAGCTATCCTTGGGCTGTGTCAAAGGGAATGATCTCAGGAACCTCCTCACCTCTTAGGCTTCATCAACGGATTCTTTATTTTTTGCTTGATTTTGCCATTCTCTTCATTCCTGTTTTGTGAAGACCTATTTTCCTGCAGTGTGTTATCTTCACAAAAGCAGAATTGGATCCCAGCAATAAGCCACTCCATCTCATCTCAACTAATGTTTTTGTCCTGGAGAGGACATAAATAACATTTTTAGTAGCTTCTGTGAGATTGGCAGTAAGGGATGATTTCCTCTAACCTTTTTTAGGGATGAAACCCTAACAATTAAAATAAACAGCATCTTCTGAATGAAAGATTTAATACATTAGCTGTTTTACTTTCTTTTTTCATAGGTGGTTAGTGAGTTTTGAATGGCAGTAATTTCCTGTGGCACAAAGTAGTTTTAATCCTAGTTCTGGGAAGCAGGTCCATGTCAACATCTCACTGCTCGAGCCAGTTTCATCTGCAGTGAGATCACTGTGCCCTCCTCTCCCATCTCGCCTGGGGCACATCAGATTTTCCGTCCAGGTACTTTTGGTGCATGAAAACTGGGAGGACACAGAAATGACATGAAATGCCCTTACAGTCCGTGTGCCCTTCCTTGCTTGTTCTCCTTCAACAGCTTATTCTTAGAAACCCAGCAGAATCTCACCCTGCCTCGCCGAGCGTAGCTGGCACTCATTTGTCACCACTGGGCATCAGGCGAGACCTGCGCTGACACCCCACGGCAGTGCTCACTCGAGCTTGTGTGCATTCACTCTCCCGTCTCCTTTGCCCATTACACACTCCATTTTTTCCCTCTCTGTGCAGCCAATGCAGGAGACCCCAAATCACAGCAGATCACTCGCCCACCCCTCTGTCCCTCCTCCCCCGGGAAGGCGGCTGTGATTTATCTGCTCGTGCAGGTGAGCAGGTGGCAGCAGGACTTGAGGCTTAGCCGGTGATAAATAACGTACTCACCAGCCTTTCCATCTTCAGATGCTGTCCTCACACACCCCAGAAAGCAGCCCAAAACTCCTAAATAGCAAACACATCCAGGCTTCAGCAGGCACGGGAAACAGGAAGGATAATGAGTGTTTTCCTGCTAGAAGAAGGTTGGAATTGAAGCCTGCTCTTCATCCCGGTACCTTTTATTCACATTCCTGGAATTATCTGGTGTGCTTGCTTTATCCCCAGCCATCTGTGATGGGCTGAGCTGGGAGAGATAAGCTCAGTAATCAGAAAATTGAGGGAAGCATTTCTGGCTGTGATAATCTTATCAGGCAACTAATATACATTAACATTTGTACAGCCTGATGATGCAGGTGGGCCTTTGCTTATTTTTTATTCCTGGATGTTTTTTGACAGGCAGGGGGAGAATGCAGGGCTTCAGGGTGCCTGTGGGAAATTTGGTTAAAACATCTTTTCGACCCTCTCTCTTGTCTGCTCTGTTCCTGTGGTGTCAGAAAGGGGAGGGAGAATAATCCAACCATTCCTTTTCTGTCTTTCCTGCTAACAGTTCTGCCTTGCTCTACCTGTCTCTTCTGGTAAGCATGGAAGGGTGAAGAGGCAGTATGTCAGAATTTCAGTTCTGGCTGAGCAATATGACTACCTGTGTCAAGATGCTCCTTTTCCTTATAAAATTGAGGAGCTTCTGCAAGAAGCTTGCACAAGTTTGCCATTGCAGTGTGATTTTGCTCTGCAAGTCTAATCTGTGCTGTTGCAGGGAATGGTGAATTAATGGATTACTTTCCTGATTTTGAGCACTGAACTCTCTGTGGTCATAAGTTTTGCATCTATAATTAAGTCTGGGTTGCTTATTATTTTCCTCCTGAGTGAAAAATATAGTTTCTGTCAATAGATTTATTAGGGGAATTAGCCACCAGGTGGTAAAAGACAGATGACAAAAGGAAGTCCAGACTCTCAAGGATGAGTGTGAGGAAGGTCTATGCTGGGAGAAGGTGCTGGAACAGAAGTTTGAGTATCCTCTAGGTAGTTTGTCTCTGCTTTACACTTCATAATAAATCACTTTCTAAGGGGTTTGGAAACAAGTAACATATGGAGTTTATCAGTTTGCGCGTTGTCTTGATTGCTGAATTAGGGATCCAGATTGCTATAAGTCAGGGAGCCTGGGAATGGGAGAGTCTGGGTAAGAAGTTCTCATGTCTGTAGAGTTTCGAAGTACTTTCTTGTGAGTCCTTTCCCAAACAAGGCCAGAGGCAGAAAGTATTCTTAATTGTTTGTTCAACCAGAGCAACCCTAGCAGCTAGAGCTAGAAGTGTATATTGGAAAGGGCTGGAAATATTCCCCAGTCTTTTGGATTCAGTGTATGTGTCTTTGAGTTGTCCTGGAAAAGACAGTGTAATCCTGTGTTTCATTTCTTCTGGGGAGGAACTGAGGCTAAATGAGGTTGAACTGTCAATACTGAATCTCAGGTACCAACGAGCTTTTCTGCATCCCATTATCCATGGGGATAGGGGAAATACCTGTAAGAGAAGCAGAAGCTTTGCTGCTAAAAGTCAACTTTCTGTGCCTCATCTACCTTAGAGAAGATACTGGAGAAAGCAGAAGGGATTGTAAAGGGAAGCAGGGTTAACTGAGGCTTTGCCATTCAACATGGGAGAAGTTGTGCTTCACGTCCATATTCTGATGGATGTCTGTGTGTACCCCTTTGCTGTTCGTGTGTACCCCTTGCTAGTGCTGGAGGAACTAACACCTTTTCTCTTCTGCAGCTGGAGGTGGAGATGAAGGTCCTGAAGTCTCAGCAGTGCACAGCTGAGCAGAGCACTGTCATCACCAAGGAGGAGGTGGACATGCTCAGGTAGGCAAAACGAGGGGAAGGCCGAGCAGGTTCTGCTGTTTTTAGTGGAACTAATGAGAAGGGAAATGCCCAGGGTAGTTTCACTGCCTGCTCTGGTTATTGTCATCTCGTGGTAGGCAGAGCACCATGTACAGGACCTACAGTGCATGAAGTGTATGTTTGCAGACTGCCTGTGTTCATAGGCTGCCTTGTGGTAGCATTGATCAGAACATATTTTCTGTGTGTTCCTGAAGTGGAATGCTCTTTTCCCAAGCACACTTTTTACTTTCTCACCAGCTTTTATGGACATGAGAAATCCATGAGGCATTAACAGAAACCCTCAGCTCCTGATTTGTTCAGCATTTAGGTATTTTATAAGCTTTGCTATCTTGTGGGGGCTTCAGGCTCTTCTCTTTTAATGTTTGGGGTCTCCTGCTGTCAGTTAATTCATAAGACTGGCTCTTGCATCACTATTCCCCCTGTTGACTTCCTTTCCTGTGGAAACAGCACTGCTGTTTGTTTCTTGTTTTGACTAAATCTCGACTGTAAATACAGGATCTGTTGGCATGTGTGTGAAGAGGTTTAGAATCCAGCTTTTGTACTCCTGATGCATGTGTAGCACTGGAGATAAAAGAGGGATGTTTCCCCTTGTGCATTGGCAGAGAGGTACCTGTTGTGATTCAGTGAAAGAGAAGTTACAAAACAGCATTTCAGCAGAGGATACATGAGCATTTACAAAAGCCACAGTGAAGCTAGACAACCTTTCCATGTATTTATTGAAGCATTTATGGCTTCCACTGCAAAGCAGGTGACACAATAAATACTGAGAACAGAAAACTTCATCTGTTTCTAAATGTTTAATAAAGTTCCTTTTATTTAAGCTGAGAAAATCAGATCTTGACAGGCTGAGTTTTTTATTCTCAGCTGATGTAAGACTTTGGCTGGAGTTTTACTTCTTAATTCTTTTATATTTTCAGCTCCATCACAATAAAGCGTGACTGCCTCGTAGGACTGAAAGCAAGGTTTTGCAGCAAGCAGAATCCGGCAGAAAGCAGAAATTACTGGCCTATATGTTATGACTTTGCTCTTGTGCTTTGCCTCTGGAGCTTGTTTTATGGCTTTGAAAGCCCAGTTCCATGGCAGGAGGGAGGTGTTTGAAAATAACACATGTTCAGCTAAGCTATTCCAATACGTTTTAGGGCTGCACACCTAATCTTAGGGACTCACTCCTATAGTTCCCTCAAGGTGCTTTAATGGTTCTGGAGGCCCAAGGCATACATCTCCTTTTTTTATTCTATGATATGTTTGAGTTCTGGTAAAGGATAGCACACTGTGGCTTCCCTTTTTCAGGGAGATAAACCTGTCTCCCCTGGGTTTTCCCTGTTGTGGAGGTTTGTTAGCTCATTCAGTTTTTTCCTTGCTAAGGCACAGTGGACCCTCTGAAACCTGAGGTTTGCACTGCTGCAGGAGTATTCAGCACCTCCTTGGCAACATTAAACCCGTCATTCCTGATTAATAACATGCTTGTGTATCAGCAAAGCCAGCAGCCTGTTTGCTGTCTTCTGGGAGCTGCAGGTTTGCAGAGGACCTGCAAGCTCCTCTACAGGAGCTCCTCAGTCTCTTCCTCCCTGGATGGTATTGCTGCAGCACCCTTTCATCTAGGAGATGTTCAGTCTCTTTATTTTCCCCTCCAAGGCTCGTTATTTTGTGTTCATCTTCCCTGAACAGCATTTGCCATCTGTTAATTGAGCGGCTTCAGGGACAGCATGTGTAGGGGAAAACAGCTGGATTGCCACATAGTCCAGGATCACTCCATGCTGTGGCAGGCTCTTGGCATTGGGGATGGAGATGTCTGGCTCTGCCCCTCTGAACTGAACAGGTTCTTTCTTCATAGAAGAGGCTCGTTCTCAAAGGAACACAAAATCAATCAGTATCCTCTCCCAGCCCTTTGGGGTTCAGGAGTGATGTGCTGTGATCCACATCAGAACACTTACTGTGGCTTGGCTGGATGTGTCCTCCCTGTACAGCAGCGGTGAAGTGGGTAGCTGTGATTAAAGAACAGAAGGGGTTTGGAGGAGAACAGGCATCAGAACGGGAAGGGATTAGATCTGCTGTGCTCATCTTCCTCTTGCATCCTCTGGGCCTCAAGAGGATCAGTTTACTCGATGTTACGTAGCTGCTAAGAAGTGAACAACACAAGCTCCACTGTTGCTTCTTTCTTCTACAGACCACTGCCAGAAACTAATTCTGGGAGAAAATGGGGGGAAGAATGCAAAATTCCAGATTGTAAAGTGGGGAAAGAAATGCCACATCTTATGAGGGAGTTATTTCCATTTTTGTATTTTATTGTGGTCTTTGAAACCACATAACCTACAGCACAGTGAGCCCAGACTCTCCCATTAACTGCTCTCCTGAGGAATGTGAAAAACAAAGGAAAACCAGCAGAAGCCAGAGAGGGGAGTCTGCAGAAGAGGACTGGACTGAGCCTCCAGGCATTTCCATATAGACCCCATAGTTAGGAGCTAATTTCTGAAAACAAAAGCAGGAGAGACATAAAGGAGAAAAAAAAAAAATCCATATTAATCCTTTGAATCTGTATTCACCCCTGTGAGTGAATGAGAGCTTTTAGAAATATATCTTTTGTCTCATTTTTCTTTAGTATGGAAAGTAAATTTTCAGCCAGAAACTTGAAAGACTTTATCAGTTTTTCCTCCTTCTCTTGAGAACAGAGTTCTCTTTCGTCAGACCTTTTATAACTTTAAATGTGAAACTCTCTCCCAGCATCATCGTTTCTGAAGAGACAATAAAAGCCAGTGCTAATGCTGCCATTTCTCACACTTTTTGCAGCTCCCTCTGAAATCATATTTGTTTATATTCTGCAGATCCTATGAAAAGAAACAGTGGTCAACCTGTTGACTTCCTGCACTGTGGGAGCATTTGGACATTAGCACCTTTTAGAGGGAAGGTGTAACTGTGCAGGAACTAGTATTTCATAATCTATAAATAAAAGGAATATATTTGAAAAGAACTTCACCAAAGACTTAAGTGACGACAGCTGAAGGACCCTTTCAGCTGGAACAAATCTGAACTTTTCCCTTCTGCTGTCAGACAGCAACCCCAGTAAATCCTAAATGTTTTCTGTGGATTTAGTGACTGGGTAGAGTTACAGTAATTCAAAAGAAATTCATGTCCTTGCCAATGCCCATTAGTCACACTTGCTGGAATTCTGTCTGCTCTGCTCCTAACACCATCTCAATGCCATCTGGATCCCTTAATAGCGTCTTCCCAACACATACATTTTCTGCTCCATTCAATAGTTTCCTGTTCAGCAATAGCTTTTCCACATGGCCATGTCCTCTTTGCAGATGGGGCCTCAGTGAGACATGTCCCTGTTGGTGATACCCACATTGCTCCACAGGCAATCACATAACACAGCTGAGAGCATTAAAAACGAATAAAATGAAGATAAAAGGGTGATGGGGAACAGTTCTCACCAGTTAACTCCACTGAAAAGCTCTGGACTGAGAGAGACTTTTGGAGTGCCTAGATGCTGTTGAAGATCAAACAGATTCCCCCCCTCTTTTTCCTTTCTAAAATAGGAGCAACCTTGTCTCACAATCTCAGTTTTTATACAGGCTGAACACATATGTTGGGATGTCTCTGATTCTCACAAGTGTCATTTCAGGAGACCTGAAGCTGTAGGTTGTGTTTTGATTTTTTTTTTTTTTCTTCCTGCTTGTTCCCTCTTCTAATTTGAGATAATGAAACACACAGTGTAGCCAATATAAAGCTCAGCTTTTAAAAGTGGGAAAATCCACAAGTCTGAGCAAATGCCAGTGAATCTGTATTCTTGCACTGAATCTGATTTTCTGAAAGGTTGTGGATGTGTCTTTAAATTACCATGTACCTGTGGAGCCATCAACTCTGGGTTAAGCTGTCTGTATCTGATGCAAGAAAAGTCTTCGAGAAATGTGAAGAGATCTTTGCCAGAGTGTAAATATTTTATGTTTTCAAAACCCTGTATGGAGAAATTCGTGAATTCTCCAGAGATTAAATCAAATGTTTCTTTTTCCTTGTATCACAAAAGTTGAGAATGATGTCAGTTTTTCGGAAAGTAGCTGATGTTTCTTCCTTTCTTGTGCTACAAGGCTGCTTTTAGAATAGGCACCAGCATTCAAGACCAGGTTGGATGGGGCTTGGAGCAGCCTGATGTAGTGGAAAGTGTCCCTGCCTGTGGCAGGGGTAGAACTGGATGATCTTCAAGTTTCCTTCTGACCCAAACTATTCTAGGATTCATTCTGGGCTAAACACGGGGCTGGTAGATGACTGTGCTGCACCCAGATCTCTCTGTACTCTGCTTTTTGTGTTCTCACGTGAATATCTGGGGTTGTTCTCCCTACCTGAGGGTAACTCCCACATGTAACAAGTTGAGGCATGCAAATTGGGGTATCCCCTCTCTTGTGCAGGTGTCTCTGCACAGGAAAGATACAAGGGACATGCACCAAGGCTGGTGCATCCAAAGGCAGGACCTCAACTTACGTAAATGAAAGAGTTCCAAGTGCCAAGCCAGTAAATATTTTTCAATATTTGACTTCCCTATCTTAACCACTAGCTGCAAATGCTTTGCTGTGTTTATATCTAGATAGGATTTCCCTTGCTCCTCTCTCTCTTTGCCATTGGGAAGAGTTCCCCAGGGGGCTGGAAAGCAAAGCTGGAATAGCACAAACTGTTTGCTAATGGTTCTTAATGCTTTCCCACTGGAGATCCAGGACACTTAACAGAGTTAAAAATAGGTTAGAAGAGGGATAAGTGGTGAAAGCACTAGTCAGTCCTGAAAACCTCCTGGTACAAAGAGTTTACAGCAATGTTCTTGGCCCTCAGTGCAGGAGAAGCAGCAAGTTTTGTCTCTGAAGGAGAGCCATGGAGTTCCTCATGCCTTGGTGGGTCAGTCTCCCTTGGAGCATGTTGGGAAGCCCTACATTGTGTCTGGAAAGGAGGATACTCTGATGGCTGGGACACTGGGAAAGAGCAGGCATCTGGGGGGTGAGCTCAGGGGAAAGGGGCTCACAGGGGCTCCTGTGCCTGCTGACTGAGCTCGGTCAAATCAAATTGGGATTGTTCATTCTGGAGAAGAGAAGACTCTGGGGTGACCTTATTGTGGCCTTTCAGTACCTGAAGGGGCTACAGGAGAGCTGGAGAGAGTCTTTTGACCATGGCATGCACTGATAGAACAGGTGGGAATGGCTTCAAACTGACAGAGGGCAGGGTTATTTGGGATATTGGGAAGAAATTCTTCCCTGTGAGGGTGAGGAAGTCCCTGGCACAGGTTGCCCAGAGAAGCTGTAGCTGTCCCATCCTTGGAAGTACTCAAGGCCAGGTTGGACAGGGCTTGAAGCAACCTGGGATAGTGGAAGGTGTTGGAAGCAGGTTGGAACGAGGTGATTTTTAAGGTCCCTTCCAGCCCAAATGATTTCAGGATTCTGTGTCTTCTGCCTGATTGCCGGTGCCCCAGGCTTTGACTCACCCCTTGCTCTTCAGCGAGGCACAAAAGGCATGAACAAATCACTGAATCTTAAAATTGCAGGTGAAATAGCACAAAAATGTAATGACTTGAACCTACCCTTGTTGCAGCTTGTGTCTCAGATCTGAGAAGTGTTTTCTAGCGATGGCTATGAATGATTTTTAAAGGGCAACCGAGAGGCCCGAGCTTCAACCTCCACACGGAGACAAGTTCTGCAGGCAGATAATGGCAACATCACAGCTTATTTGTGAGGCTGGATGGGGAGAAATTTGTTCCAAATTAAAATTCAGCATGTCAAGTAGGGAGACAGTGCTGATGAGAGTCCTGTGTCTGGCTCTGACCTTTCGGGAGCTGTTGTGCTGTTGTTCCTCGGAGAAAAGCCTCGCTCTTCTTGTGGACTGTTCCGCAATCCATTTAGAAGGGCACTGTTAAAGAGCATTAATTCCATTCTGAATCTCCATTTTTCCCGACCTTTTCAGTCTCCTGTTTCAGCATCCTCCGTCCCCACTAGTTTTGCATCTCTTCTGGAAGTTACTGATGATACTTTTTAATGGCCTAGACAGTGCTAAAACTGCTCCTCGGCATTTTAGAAGCTTCCACGAGTGAAAAAAGGTGATACTGTATAATATTTGAAAATTGCCAGCAGGGGTCAGGCTTACAAATAATTTAAGCAATCCAAGCTGCATATTTAAAAAGGAGACATTTCTGTGCTGAACATGGTGTACCAGCTTCTGTGGAAAAGTGTGTAACTTTTGCCCGATGAATAGGAGAGATGACTTTTTCCTTGTACCTGAAATGGCTGTTGTATAATTTGGAGATGTTGGCAGATGGGTGCATTCTTTATTGTCATGGTGCAAGGATTTTCAGCTTAATTTAGATCATTTAAAAGTGAGTATTATCAAGCAAGAGTTTTTTTTTTTTTTAAAGATTATTCCATAAAAAGGATCCTGAGAAAATTGAATGCAAAGGTCAATGTTATTATGCATTAGCACAGTTCATTCCAAGAAGTTATCATGGGAAAGGTGAGGGTCTTGAAGCAGCATCAAAGTTTTGTACTCTGTACTTAAATGCAAGCAAAAATGTTATATCCAATGTTTTACATGTATGTATCTCCTGCCTAACAAGTCTGATAGAGTTCTCTGAAGGATTCACCAGTCATTTGTCTAAGGTTGATATGGTTGATCTAATGTACTTGACCTTTCCAGGAGCTTTGAGCCAAAGGTTACAAAGAAACCTTATTTGATGGAATAAGAAAGAAGGTTTTGTGATGGATTAATAAGAATATAAAAATCCCCGAGGTCTGGCTGTCCCAGTGTGCTGTCTGTGGGGATGACCAATGGTGGATGCCCACGTGAATAGGGCAGAGCTGCTGGGGTACCTTGCCAGGAGGCTCTCCTGGCTTCCAGTGCCTCATCTCCATGATTTCCTGAGCCAGAGATACTGTAATATCTTTCTCCTTTATAAAGCTTCATGCCTTTTTCTTCCATTAATTTGCTTATGTAATTCAAATTTAAAAGGTGGAAAATCGAAGAATAAATGTTTTCACGATGCTGAGGGTTTTCCACTAGATCCGAGAATAGTTTTTATTGGGAACTTGTCCAACACAAAGAGGAGTTTGTGGGTAGTGAGGTGGCAGAGTTTGAGATAATATGAAATTATTCAGCTTATCAGAATGTTCAGGGTTTCAGAAGAATCTCACAATGCTTCTCGAGATGGGAAATGAAGTTGTACACCAATAATTGCCAAACCCATGAACATAACAAAAAACACATTTACTTTTACTCTCACAACACTGAGCTCTAAATGAGCTGTTGTCACTCAAGAAAAAGATCTTACATTACTGTGAACAGTTTTGTAAAAATATCAGGTAGGTGCTCCATAGTTACAAATACAAATAGATTCCTGGGAGTCATTGGAAAAGGAGTTGAGAATAAAAGAGAAATCCTCATTGTGCCACTGAAAACATCTGAGTGCTGTTTGTAGTTCCAGCTTTTCTCATAGTAAAAAGTCTGTATAAAACTTGAAGGAACAAGGAAGCACAATAAAGATGAGTAGAAATATGGAAAATGCTTGATGTGAGGAAAGAGTAAACAGAGATTCTTCAGGAAGTAATAGAGGAGGCCTGTAATGTGGTGTGGAGAGGGGAGTGCAGTACAATAATTCTTGACTTTTCACAGCAGAACTAACGGGCACTCAGTGAAATAATCGCATGTGAAGTATAAAACAAACTGAACTAATTTTTCATACAGCACATAATTAAATTGTGGAACTTACTGCCAAGGAGTGTTGTGAAGGCCAAAAGTATAAATCAGATCAAAAAGAGATTTGATGCCTCATGGAGATTTTAGCTGTTGGCGGTTATTAAACATGATGGTCTAGGCTCAGTCTGTGGTTCAGAAGGTATCCAAGCTGAATTTGCTTTATTTTCAAGTTGTATATTTTTAATATACTTTTACAAATTATATTTTCATCACATAAACATGTCACTTTTAGTCATATGTTTTAGCTGCCTCGGTAGTGTAACTTTGTGGTACTGAAAACAGGAATAATCTGATACTGCTCGTGATTTCAGGCTTTACTTGATTATTTGTGGTGGGACCACGCAGGGACACACAGAGTCTATTAATTTTCCCTTCTTCCCCAGGCTGAAAATTGAGGAGCTGGAAGCTGAACGCAGCAAGCTGGCAGAGGAGAACAGATCTCTGGAAATGAAACTGGAGAAGCTCACTGTGCAGGTAGGAATGTGGAGGTCCAGAGCAGCTGCAGAGCCTGACATGGTCCATGCACTGTAGCTGTTGTAACAGATGTGACCAAATGCTTCCAGCATGGAATTTCCCTTCCCTCAATCTGGGCAAGGCACCTTTGGGGACTCTTTGCCAGCTGCACCAGCACACCCATGTCTCTGTGTTATTGGAGGGGTGTGATGTCAGATGCAGTCACACAACTGTAGTTGTCTTTTACAATGCCTTTCTCTAGGACCTCTTCTTCCTGGAGCCTTAAAATTTGCTACATGTGAAGTAACTCCACCGCTAGAAGTCGCCTCTCCCCAAATTCATTCATTCATGCCAAAGTGGGAGCATAAACAGGGTCAACCATGCGGAGCTGATAAGAAATTTTGAATTTCATTGGTGTTGAAGTCTCCACTCTGCTGCTGGCAGCAGTGGAGGCAGAGACCACCAGTGTGTGGCCTCATTATGTAGGAGTTTTCCAAGCCAGGAGCTATCCGTGCTGTTGAGAGGATGAGCTGGCAGCATCTTCAGACCACAGACAGGTGTGGAGTCAGAGGGATGGAAGGTGTGTTCCTTTTGCTGTGCTGTTTTGTGTGTGTCTTACCTTTCCCTGGGGTAGTGCTGTCCTCTATGGCAGAAGGTGTTCAGCTTTTCACTCTGGGTAGATCTCTGAAGTCTCACCCTCCTTGAAGGAGGGCAAGGGTACCTGCAGCAGATAAGTGGACTGACTGTTCAGCTTGCTGTCACCCTGGGAACAGCTTTCCTGTGCAGAGGAGGGGCTTCAAACTTTTGTAGGGTTTCCTCTTTGAAAGGTGCTGGAGCAAACAAGAACCTGAGCCTGTTTGTTTAATCAAAGCCCATCCTGCTATAAACAGTGTTATCTCTTCCTTCTATTCTCTCTGATACGCTCAGCAATTTTATTCTCTTAATTTTTCTTTCTTTTCCTCTTGTTTTCTCCATTTTCGTATAAAATGCTTCATGGTAAAAAACCTGCAGGTTGGAAATTACTCAGATTTCAGACACTTTTTTTCTTTTTTATTACCAATTCCTGGAGACAGGAGAAGTGACAGCTTTGATAAAGCAGGGAGCTAAGAGCTACTGAGCATCTCTGCTGAGCCATGTTTAGTGTGAAATCTGTCACCCAGTTCTCCTTTAATTGGGTTTCAGTCATCAGAAGGAGAGGAAGGCTTTGGGCTGGTGTTTGGATGCTTAGGTCTCCAACAAACACAACAGCAGCTTTGGTTTCAGGGCAGATTACAATTCAGGTCATGTTTAATTTGCCTGCATTGTCTTTCAGTGAATATTGGCTTTCCAAGAAGGTCTGACCAGAGAAATTCCCTTTTTATTTTGTGATGTCTCAAGACATCACAAGAATCTGCTCTGTTTGCTCGTACTGCTCTTGAGATGCCAAGTCTTGAGTAGCAGGTTCAGGAAAGAGAGATCTGCCAGTCCCTCAAAAGGCAAGTTAGTGAACTGAATTCAGGTAGTCTTGCTTGTCCAGAAATTACCTGGACAAAACCATCCTCAGCCCCAGGAATGGGCTGATGGGCAAAACCACGACACTGTTCCAATGTTTCTGTGAAGAAATTCCTCCTCACATGTGCTTTTGCATCTGAGCGTTGGCATGTGAATTTTGCTGATCTGTGAGCAAGGGACCCTCACAGACTGTCCAGAGGGCAACCGAGCACTTGGAAAGGAGCTTTTGTGTTGTGTGACTCACACTCCTTGAGCTCAGTATTAGCAGGTGAACTGACACACTGAGAGCTCTCCCTAGCAGCGTATATAACATCTGACATCTCTTTGTATTCTGTGCTTGTGAGGGGACAGCTGTGAATTATACCTGAAGGTGCTTTCCACCTCCACACACCCCATCTTCCAAAACCCTTTTCCTCTTGACACCTGGCTGCAGGCTGCATTGATTTTCCTTCACTGGTATAAAGACTTTAGCATGGATATTACTCACTGGTCAGGTCTTTACTGCTAATAAAACCCTCAGATTACAAAAACACAGGAGATGTTGAAGAGGTGGAGAAATGGCACCCTGTTGAGGGTGCCCAGGATATTATCTTAAGGAAAACATTTGAAATGTGGCTCAGGAGAGGGATTCAAATAATATGAAAAGAGTGGGTTTAAACAGACAATTTTATCTCCTCTCCTCTACCCTTCTTTTATTTCCATGAAGCAAAAAAAGCTTCCAGGAAAGCTGGGCTGCCAGTGCTTGCTCCATTGTGGGCAGAGTGAGCTTTCAGAGAAATGGTTTGGTTTGTTTAGTTATCTGAAATGATCTCCACCGTCTTCCAGAGCTGCTGATGGAAAAGTGCAGCTCCACGCCAGGAACAAAAGAGACTGATCAAATCAGTGCTTTTCGGATAAAGTGGGAGGAAAGACTTGTGAGGAGTGTTCAATTAGCATTTCTTACTGCTAGGAGCCTTGTGTTTACAGGCAACCAAGCGGATGTGAAGTGTTCCTTATGCAAATACTACTCTCCTGCTTTTCCTGCTCTCCTCTACTCTTCGAGCTGAAGAAGAGATTCTTCAAGGTTGGCTGCTTCAAGGAAGATTGATTAAAATCAGCTGCAGTTTGACTTAATTGGATCCATATGCTTGGAGAGGGAGCAGGACTAGTTAAAGTCCTCGTAATTAGTTCACAGCTGGTTGGTGAGAGAAATGAAACTCCAGTTAGAGTTCAGATAAGTGGATCTATATGGATAAAAGGCAAGGAGGGGTTTGGGGTTTTTTTTGCCCTGAGATGTGTTTGGGCTTGAAAATCACCTCTAGTCCCATAGCCAAGCTAGCAGTTTAATCCCTTCTAGCTTGTGCATGTGTATTTATGAGGCTAAATGGAAGGAGTCTGTATTTTCTTGCATGTTTTTGAGTAAAAGGATTGCCTGTGGATGCTGGCAGTCAAGAAAACCTGAACAGGGTGGCAGAAAACTGGGAGAGGATCTCAGGCACAAGGCAAAACCCAAAAAGGTTAAGTTTGGGTGTGTGAAAGGGTCTGAATAATCCAACTTGGAGTGTGATGCCTCTGCTCACAGTTGTTTTTGTTGTGTTTGGTCTTCCTGCCAATCACTAATAAGACAGCAACACTCTTAAAAATGCAGTATTATTCACAGATGTTGAAATAACTGATTTTTGCCAATTATCTCAAAGCTCAGAAAGAGTTGACTAACTACATAGTGTGGGGACAGTCATCAGAAAACTTTTCCCAGACAGAAGCTGGTATTTATGCTAAATTCTGCTGTCAGAGTAGAAGGAATTGAATTCCCTATTACAGTGTCCTTGAGGGAATTGCCTGCAAAAAATATGCTCCACAAAGTACTGGGGGTATTTCTTCCTGCTGGCATGACTTCATTAAGGTGTTTTGAGGTGTTCATTAATGCATGTGCAGGAGTTCCTCTCTGAATGTCTAACTTTGCTATTGTTATCGACCATTTTACATTTTAAGATATTAATCTGGCTAAATTAAATCTTAGATTCTTCCAGGCCTTAAATTGATTATTTTTGCACAAATTAAAGCATAAACCACTTGTCCGTTTTGGCGGTAGTTGTGTTGTAGCTGTAATGATTTGAAGATAAGAGAGGAGCAAGTTCTGCAAGCAGAAATACAATAATTTTTTTAGTAAGAGTAGCTGGCATAATTGGTACAGTTTGATACAAGAGTGAAGATTTGCTCTATTTGTCTCTTTTAGGTCATTTTAATTGCCCTGCCTTAAACTATCAGGAACTTGTGGTGGTTGGTCCCACCACAGCAGGAGGCTCTGCAGGGTTGGGTTCTCCAGAATTCAAATGTCCATAAATGTAGAAAGTGCTGGACATCCAAAATGTTCACTTGTTTCTCTTTTCCCTTATCTCTTCAGCCTTTGTGGTTGGGCTGGTCTCCTCCTTATTGTAGTGCTGTATTTTGAGGGACTAACAAAACATTTGGGAGCTGCACCCCAAGGGAAGGTGGGCAGGGAATGTTTCTCCTCTTTAAGCATTAATGACTCATTTTATGTTTAGGGCTTTGGCAGACAGGCAGTGACTAGCTTGGAGTCAAGAACCCAAGGCAAAGCTGAGGTTATTTAACAGTCTAACTGTTCATTTTGTGACCAGTGAAGAATGATGAATGAATCATTTACACTGTTACAAAATTTAAAGGGACACAGTCAACCTTTCAAGGTTCTCTGATTGACCTCAAATGCTCACGGATCTTCTTCCTGGATTATCTCCATTCTCTCCCTTTTCACACACTTCCTGTCCTTTTTCCTTCATCTTTGCCTGCTGAGGTCTGTGTTTGCCTCTGTGGCACAGCTGGTCCCCACTGAAAACCTCAGGTAGCCAATTTCAGCCCTTTTTTTTTTTCCTGGGGGGAAAAAAAAAAAAAAGCTTCTTTAAATGGTTTTGGGCAAACCACTTGGCATCTCTTCAGTCAGGTATGCCTTTTGGCAAGGTGCAGGAGCTAATTTGTGTGGGCTTCAGAGGGACTTAATTTTGAGATAGAATAGCTGAGAACATCTAGCAGGAGACGCAGTAAAGAGAAGATGAAAGAGAAGTGCAGGTCCAGGACTTTAGAAGGTCATATCATATCGTGCTGCCCTACTCACCCAGTGCACTGAGTTTCATGGGAGCGTGTGGGAGTGGAAGAGGACCAAGAAATTTGTGATCCGTTCCATAGACTCCCAGATTTTATCAGCAATAAGCTCATCTTTTACAGGCAAAGATTATCTTTTAAATTTCACAGGCAGCAGCAAGGGTTTCACTGATGCAAGGAAGTGTATCTGCTCAAGTGTATATTGGCAGAGACCACTCTGGGAGTCACTCCACAGTTTTGCTCAAAACACCAATGAAAAACATGTGATAAATATCTATGGTGCCTTGGTTAAATTTATACCATCTCTATTAGTTATTGATCCAGTAGCTCAATTGCAGCACAGACATTTCACTCAAGGGTTGGCATTCGTAATTCCTAACCTCATTGCAAAGGTATTTTCAGGTAATTGCAGCTACCTTTACATTTTCTGGAGA